TGTGTGTGTGTGTATGTGTGTATGTGTATGTGTGTGTGTCACATTGATATGTAGAAGTCATACACTACCTTGTTCTACCTATCAGCTACGATTATTTGCCCTCTTTTGTCGAGATCAAACTCTCTTCTTTTGAAACTAACAATTTTCCACTGCTCTCCTCTAGCCACATCTCCGAATTTTTCCATTAACCGGACTATGAACTTTGTCGTCTCTTCTGGCCACAACTGTCCTTCCCCCTATTTTGGTCTTCGCTCGACGAATACTACTGATTGACCTATATGTCATCGAGAATCCTTTCAACTTTGAGGTGAGATTTATGGTTGTGATATGAGTCCACCTACCTTCTATTACATGGTGTTATCGCACCCTCAAAACAATACTTAATCACTGACACATACAGACACCGATCAACGTACTACCACCACACATACATACGCTCGCTCACAGGCATGAATATCTTGACATACATACATATAAATATATTACATATATATATACACATGCACACATACACACACACACACACACACACACACACACACACACACACACACACATACACGGACATATGTGACAGACAAATACATTGATAGGCTGTGACACCAATTATTTGATAATTATCAACGGCAACACCAAGAAATATGCATATTACCGGATACTAAGCAATATCATTTACCGCGCTCCGATATGATTTTAGAAACGAAAGATGAAAAAAGTTAGGATTCTGGGAAATCACGATAAGAGAGAAATTTAATGAATCGAATACTAACTTAACTTACGGATGATATCCATTCAATGGAGAATAAGTTTAAAATCCATGGGTGAAAGATTGTAAAATTGATATTGTTTCGAAATAGTGTATTTAGATCTATTACTATCCCTTCTTCGTTTTCCTTTCTTTTTTTTATGAAAGCGACAAGAACGAAATGCTGCATTCTAATGCCTTATCTTCTACACATCAGTCAATATTTTTTTATATCATTTTTCTTCCTTTTTAAGTAAAAATGTAAAGTGTACTCTTTCAAAAAAAAAAGGAAGAGAAAAATTCCGACAGTTGAGACAAAACATTAAGCGATCATTATCAATCTGATAAAATCAGAGCATATGATATTTTACAGTTGCAAGATTTCTTATAACTTTTAATCCTGGTTAGATAGGAAGATATAAAGCGAGGAATGTTAATTTTGGCTTTATTAGGATAGAAGGAGGATGAAGGAGTAGGAAAATGATGAAAAGTGCATTTATTACTGAAAGATTGATATAAAAAAACTGCTTTTTTGGATTGATAAAATAAGTGCAAAATGATAGAAAGTGATAAAGTGAGAGGATAAAAGACACAATTGAAGTATGAAAGTTTTAGATAAATGCATTTCAAATTAATCATTTTTTTAAATAGTATGGTGATTAGTCGATTCAAAACATTTGAATATTATATGAATTAAAATTAAAATTGTTAAAATTTTAAATTGATTACATTTTGCACGTTTGATTATTTTTTAATCATATTTTGATTAAGGCCTCTTTGATATCATTTATAATTTAGGGATTGCAAAACAACGTATTCCAGAAGAACTGTTAAAGTATCGTAGCTTACTTTATACGTATCCTTTTCGTTATTAACCTTGAATTAGAATAATTATTGCAATTTTATGAAATTAATTTATAACTTCCTTCCTTTTCAAGTGGTGTTTACAGGCAAAATTAGGTAAAATTAAAAATTTAGATTGGTATTCTTTAATTTAAAATGGTGATTAGATATTTGAGAGGTTATCATCGTATTATGTAATATGATATTGAGATTACATATATTTTCTTTATAGTAATAAATAATTTACTAATTTGCTGTTGCTTGATTTATTATCTCTGTTCTGCTCATAATCATATCATTTCCAAACTGGAAAGCTTATATACATTTAGAAAACAAATAATTTTCAAAATCATTTAGTAAAATTAAAAAAAAAAGGAAAGGACGCAACCGGAAGAAAGAAAACGGTAATTTAGAAGTCGTCAATACGTTCAATGAGTCGTCACTATCCATCGGCTGATTCACCGTAACTCGTTATCTCATTTTCTCATGCTATTTGCTTGTTTTTTTTTCTATTTTCTCTTTCATATAATAAATTTATGTTACAGTTGTCATCCCAGAATTACCTTATTCTCTGATCGAGAAAAAAATTAAACTTTGCTCGATCTGGATCAGAAATCAAGTCAAGTATATATATTCTTGTATAAGGTCATTTTTTTTATTTTTTTAGTAAAAAAAATTATTATCGCTGTTCTAATAAGCAGTGATATTAATAGGATGATTAATATAGAATAATTAGATATTCAGTCAGTTCATATCTTGGATTTTAATATGGATAAAGAGAAGTGATCGATCGATTGATTGCTGATGGCCCAAAGAAGATGAGTGAATTGGAAGGTGATGGATATCATCATGCTTATCATTCATGTCAAGAGAATAAAGAGGAAGCGGAGGAGGAAAAGGAGGAAAAGGAGGAAAAGGAGGGAAAGGAGGAAAAGGAGGAGGATGGAAATATATAACGGGAGGATCATATTGGTGGTAGTATGGGCGGGGCCGCGATTTCACCCGCTATTGTTGCCGCCGGCCGATATGCGGTCATGGTTGCGGCTGCCGTCCAACAGCAAATGCGGTGTTGTATGCCCGCGGTGGTAGATAATCAACTTCAGAAATTCGGTATGTTAATAATATTGATTCTTGCTACGGTAATTCACCTAATTGTCCAATATTTCTTGCGGAACATAAATAAATGTTAAATATTTGAAAATATGGATACCGTAAGTATCCGTAGGTATCATGACACTTTTCCGGAATAGGATAAGTAACAGTTACGGTTACTGGTTATTACTGCAGCATCATGGAAGCTGCACTATCGCTGTGGTAATACACAGCAGTCTAACTTAATTTAATCAACTTTCGCCGCAACTTATTGCAATTTGATTGTTATAGGCATCTTACGGTTAGTTACATTACCAACTAATCTAGCCTCTTCAACTTATCACAGTATACCGTTACTTATCATAAATTATTATGACTTATAAATTGATTTTAGTCATCATATTTGATCATGAATAATTTGTTAAACTCTTAAAATTGCTTGAAATTTCAACAGAAATTTTCGTAGTAAGTCATTCTGTCAAATATTCATCGAGCTTTCCTCATTCTTTTATTTTCTCTAGAAACTGACCCGGAAATCAGGCAGCTTGTTGGCCCATCACAAATAGCTTTTGCCGGATTGCTTCATGCGCCACCGGCGGAACGACGTAACGCATTATTGCAAAGCTGTGTTGATCGGCAACAACCTCGTTTACCCATCGTTAGTTTTTTTTTTCATTTTTTTAAGTGCATAAAATACGATGTCACTTTTGTATTAATCCTTTGTTTATTTTCCATTATTTCTGAAAACCTTAATTTTAATGAATCCAACTATTATTTAAAATTGAAATTCATTTGCTATCTGACATTTTTGTTTGTCATATTCTTCTATATGCTATATTCTCCTTTTAACGATGTTACATCCTTGCTAGCAAAATTTGATCAAATTTTAAAGTCAGCTTGTGAATTCAAAGACTTATATGTTTGGAAACATTGATAAAAAAGATATTTTCGCATTCTCAGATTGTCAGACCTCAGTTTGAAAACAAAATTTATTTTCGAATTTGTATTTTAGGCGAAATTTGAGGAGATATTCAAATGATTCTTACCTTTCTTATCACAGAACACTGTATTTTGTTTTGTTTCCTAATATATTATTTTGGACTAGAAATTGGTTTATAAAATTTAGTGTTGATTGCGGAGCAAAGTGCATTTTCAGACAATATTAGAAATAGAAATAGAAAAATGAAAAGGTAAATAGCAGCCGCAAAAGCATCGTTTGCTTAAACAATACAAATTTTTATCGAAGGATAGGTATAGCTTTGTAGTGATTGTACACAGTTAAAAAAAATAATAGAATAGATGAGTAAACGTGAAATATACTTCTTCATTTGTGTATTTTTGAGGTTTGTTTTTTTTCTTTTTTTTTTATTATACTTTCAAGTAAGTTGATAAAGTTTCAAATTACCGAACTAACCACTTGCATTCATTTCTGAAGTAGAACATTACTAATTGCATTTACTGTCATCAACATTGCTTCCAAAGAAATAATCTTGAAATGTATTTATTTATTTGTGATAATAACTATATCTGTTTAAATATTAAAACATTAAAGAAAAATGTGAATTTTTTCGGAAAATTACCTATTAGCTTGGAGAAAGGATTGAAATAGCTAACTTAATAATTCTAAATTAGGAATTAATTTAAATGTAATTAGAAGTCTATATTTATCAAACACATTCTTCATTACCACTGGCTTTCGACTTGTGATAACTTCATGGATTCTTCTCTTTTAAAAGAGAAGAATCCATGAAGTTTTTTTTTTCGGAAAAATTTGGAAATTAAATTTTTTTTGGAAATTTTGGGAATTAAATAATTTTTGGATTTTTAGAAATTAAGTATAATCCAAATCCAAATCATATCAATGTATCGCTTTTTTCAGACATTTACGCAGTTTGGTTATAACAGCGATTTTCCTTTGTCTTCATGTACAGTCGGTCAGGAGGAGGTATAATACTTTTTTATTCTTAACTGAATTTTAAATCAAAAAATTTGTTGCTATGCTATAAGGTATTCTAAGTAAGTAATTCTTGTTTTTTGATTTCATCACTGAATCGAACAATCCACTCACAGCTCTTTTGAGATTTCGTAAGCTTCGGAATGTCTTAAAAAATCCATTTCCATAATCCATTTCAGCATTAAAAGCCACTAGAAGTTATAAAAATTCTGCATTTAACGACTGGTAATCCTTGTATTTAAATTTAATTGGATTATAACGAATGAATTTAAATGGTGAAATTCTAGCAAGTTGATTTTTTTTTTTCGTAACATTTACAGATAATATTTGAAAGTCGATTTATCCTGAATGGTGTTTGCGTAATTCTACGTGGTATCCTGAATCGTGAATTAATGACAGGTTCTAGTACTTTACAATTTGATGAAGAAAAAGCTGCCGAAGAGGAACTTCATCGACAACAAGCAATGCAACAATATGGTGATCGGATACATGCCATTCGGCAAAGGTTTAATTTGCCGCAAAGTTGATAATTGTGAGAGAGAGAGAGAAAAAAAATCTTGTTTTCTTAAAATTTAATTCTTATCGTTTTCACAGATCTCCTCAGGTTTATACTTTTTTGCCTCCGCGATGTTATCATCATTTTTATGCTCTTCTTTGCTTGTCCTCCGTTATATAAATGATGTTCAGTTTTAGGATGATGAATTTTGTCTCAGCTGATAATGTAATTATTTTAATTATGGCTTTCATTCTTTAGAGATTAGAGATTAGATTTTAGATTGAATCAAGTAAATTGCCACTTTAAAAAAAGAAACTCTAACAATATATATATATATATGGTTTTGTTTTATCTAAATTGAAAGATAAATTTAATAGGTAAATGATATGCTTAAATAATAAATTAACTAAGGGATCTTTTGGATATGAAACATTTCCTGATTTCTTACAACTTTGGTAAAGATTATTTATGGGAGATACGAATAGAAAGACAAAAATGCCAATCAATAAATGTATTTTTAATCAAATATCATGTCTTTATTTTTATTTTCATTTTCATTTTTTGTTTTGCCGTACAATTCACTTAAAATTTGATTTGATTTGAATTATTGATATATTTGTGCCAGCTTTTATTCTGTGTTTGTTTGTCTCCTAACTTAGCTCAGGGATTTTTTTCTTCTGCTTTTTAATTATCATCACTTAATTTGCTTCTGAAAATTTACCTTCAGCAGTATTAACTTTTGGTTTATTATATTTTATATGTTTTAATTTTTTGTTATATGTGCCTTCCATTTGTTGTCCGGATTTCATTTTTTATTCTTTATAACTTGTCACTTTAAAGGATGCACAATATTTGTCGGAAGATTGTTGTTTGATCAAATTTGTCATCTATTTCGAGAGATTTCTTGAAATTGAGGAAATTTTAAATTTGAAAGGAAAATTTTCCTCTTAATTCTTCAAAAATGAAGTTAAAGCTATCAAATTGAAGATGTCTTGTAAATTCTTTCAGATTCTGAAATTATGAATCAGAAATTTTGGAACCTAGTGATTTACGACAGGTGGTAGAAATTTGAAAATGATTAACATTTCGGCAGAATTTACATTTTAATTTTAATGCCAGTGATAACGAACGATGAAATGATGCGATTTCAAGAAATGCATAATAAACTTGCTGAACAATTCATTTAACACATCAATCAACTGATCAGCTGCTTGCTACTGCGATTGCTATTACCGCAACTACTTCATTCGATAGTTATATCAATAAGCTTATCAATATCCAATGGTAGAGAGGGATGAAAAATTATGAAAACGAATAATACAAATTAATGAAAACTATTGGATGGAAAATTCATTACAATCATATTGATAAAAGCGACTTTTACCTTTGGCTTTACCATTATCACGATACACGTAACATAGCCAATGTTATTAGCCAATAAGTTTATGTTTTCAGTAACACTCAAATTTTTAAAATCCACTGAAATTAATGTCTTTTTCTTCTTCGAAGTATTGCAGTAATTTTCTAAACAAAAAAAGCAATCGCGATTTTTCATTTATAACTTAAAATGCATAAATCATCTGTCAAAAATTTCCAATTTAGAATATTATTATTACAAAATTAAAGGCAAAAAATTATTTATTACTATAAAGATAACAGTAAATATAATCATCAATTATTACACTGCAAATATTATATCATTACCTATTTTTTTCAGTAATAATTATAAATAATATGCTTTATATAATATTACAGCTTTCATACACTAATAATATTTCATCTAAAATTTTAGAGCCGAAACAAATAACGATAGCATACTTCCTGTTTTTAAAGACTAGACTTTAAAAAAAAAAAAAAGAAAATAAATATTTGTGATTTTACGCTTTTTAAATGAAGAAAAAAACCACATTGCCACTGTCCGTCTCAGCTGACATTACCACCTTCCTTCTATTCCATTATTCTTTTTCCCTTTCTATTTGCCGATTTCATTGTAAATCGGTACAATTATATTAATTCGGCGCCATATCATATTTGCAAACAAATTAAAATCTAATGGATTCGGAAGCTTCTAAGAATTTCGTTTTTTTTGCTATGCTATCAGTGGAAAATTTGCATAAACAAATGAAAAAGATTTTTCGGAATATATTTCTTAACAGATTCATTTCAATAACTTAACTTATCTTTCAATAATCTGAAAGCTAGAATTTTAGTAAAAATCCTAAATTCGAAACTTCATCCCATTTTTATAATTTCAGTCAATTTTATTTTAAGCTAGTAAACATTTCTCTCGAATGAATTTTAAATAATTGATAAGATGAAATGAGTTATAATATTTTATCGAAATTATTGCAGCAATAATTGCTATCATTCAAATGAGGAATTAATTGATTAGAAATCGATCAGATGAATTAGTCGGTAATCTGTTTGTATTCATAGGAATCAGGAAAGAGATCAAGAGACTGTCACAGGAATTGTAAACATATTCATTACGCTAATATTCGTTTATTATTTTATTCTTTAAATTTTCAAATGAATCTGAAGTAACAATATGAAATATTAGTAATGTGATGTGATGAATTGTTAAAATTAACAATAATAATAGCAAAAATTTTTCAGAAAAAAACTTTAAAGCAATTTTTTTGTGCATGAATGGAAAATGATCATATTACAGATCACCATGGACGATTTTATTAAAATCTGGATATCTATAGGGCCAATCAACGCATGTCACATTACTTGACTGATATTGACTTTCATCCAAATTAATACCATATAGCGTATAACGAACTTTTCTCGGGTCATCTTTAATTTCATGCTTCACTTGCACAAAGCAATTCTGCAAAATTTTTTGCTTATTTTCATGTGATTTTATAAAATTTCTTTATCAGTTTTATTCAACATATTGAGCAGTTGGACTAAACTGAAATGGCTTTAACCAAATTTTCTTCAGAAATTTTCTACATTTACTAGAATTGATATATAATTGTGAGATCAAGAATACTTTTTGATTATTAAAATGGTGGAAGCAATTTTGGCAGCTGTTATTTTATAAATTTTAGTTTAAAAAAATATTGGATTAAAAATTTTGTATGGTAATTTATTTTATTTTAAAAGATTTCATGGTGAACTTTTATTGAAACAAAAACTTCACTTATCATCGTTAAAACAAAATAATATGCATTGTTCTTTGTGATCAAAACTTCTACTTATTTTATTTTACAGTGCACTAAAAATTAATTCCAATTACTCCGTCTACCAATTTATTTATCGCAATCAATACAGCAAATTATAGTTCCGGAATCAATTTTGTGATGAAATCAATATTATACAATACCAAGAAAAATATTACTAATTTTGTTAAAAAAAAAATAAAATCTTCCCTTAACAAAAAGCGAACCGTCATGTTCACTCAGAAAATAATTGCTTTTTCTAAATATTGAAAAAAAAATGATTTAATAAATGAGTCATTGAAAATTAACCTTGTATATATTTCGTTCATCGTTATTTATACAGTGATGTGTAATATTTAAATATATCTTATGATCCATTGCATATCGAGTTCCCTTCACAGTGAATGTACCGTCATGTCTGCTCAGAGAATAATGGCTTGTTCGTAAAATACCTTTCACCACATTTCCATATCTTATATCTTCAAAATGAATGTAAATTCACAAATGATTCAATTCTTTCAGTTGAGCATTTCTAATTTTTTTCAAAATTTTTTACAACATCATTATTACGCTTTGTCATTTCTGTCAATAATAAAGTTTCAAATTTTTTAATTGTAATTAAAATAATTACTGTTTTTTTCTGCTTTTTTTTTCTTGCTTAGTAAATTTCAAATCTAATTTGATAGCCTCTTTGGATGGAATAATTAAAAGTATTTGACGAAATCAGATTTAGCAAAAATTTATTGCTTAAGCAGCTAATGACCAATTAATGTTGATGTGATAGAGCTGGACATATAGAATACTAAGCAAGCCGTAATAACACTGTAAATCTTTGATCTAGCAAAGACCGGATGAAACACCAGCGTGAGATCAATTGATATCATATCAGTTGGTGGAGGGATAATAGGGGAGTACATTGGGGAGATACTATATGACAAACATTAATAATTGTTTTTGCATTGGAAAGAGCTTTAATAATTGTAATAAATGAAAATGAATGAAAAGGATCTGCTCGGTAGACGACAGAAAATTACGTGAAAAGTATAGAAGAATTGTTGAAAAATATCTCTTAAACCCATGTTTATTTAATTAAGCTAAAATAGAAAATTTACATTTTACTTCTTCAAAAATGTTAAGTAACACTGCATAAGCTCCATTATGATGACATATTACTTTTCCTTCTACCACAATTGGATATGAATGTTTTATCGTTTCGGAATTATTCTGTGGTACTAACATCATTAATGTTACTACCATTAATTCTACCAAAATACGAAAGCGTCTCATATATATGCTGAATTTGGTATTTTTTTTAAATAGCACTGAAAATCAGGATTATCGGTTGAATTTGAAGTTACAGATATTAACTTACTTTTTTTTAGTAAGTTTATACTTTAACATATAGTAAATATTACACTTCCAATACTGGTAGTCAAATGGTACTAATGTCGAAATCCATTTCAAAGAGAGAAAAATATGTATTCTAAGAAATAGTTAATCATACAAAACTAACCAGATAATTTTGCAGTGTATTTTTATTTTTGAAACCTTGAACGACCTTCTATTACTCTTTACTATGAAGATTAAGAATAATAATTGATATTTAAAAAAGGAAATCATTTTATCCAAACTATATGGTATGCAAATTTTTTATCAATAATTTTTTATCAATATCAAGAAATGTTTATTGATAAGGTACTCTGTTTAAATCAGTCAAATATCTTTTAGTCAGCTTTCTTGAAGTCTCGAACTAGTATTTGGTAAAAATAAATAATATCAAGGCATCTTTATCAGTGACAGTATACTGTGGTCCTCCTATTTACCGGCATTTTGTAGTATATCATCATCAAGATTTGTTGAA